AAATTTAAATTAAAAAAAAAAAAAGCTCATCTGTTACAAAAACACCTTCAGACACACCCAGAATCATGGTTGACCCCTATCCGGACAGCCCTTAGCCCAGCCAAGTTGACACATAAAATTAACTATCATAAACACCATCTGTCTGCTGAATACTCCCAAATCCACATCTCTGTCTGTTGAGCACCTGACTCTTGACTTAGGCTCAGGTCATGATCCAAGGGTCATGAGATTGAGCCCTGAGTCAGGCTCCACACTGAACACTGTGCCTGCCTAAGATTCTTTCTCTCCCTCTCCTTCTGCCTCTCCTCTGCCTTCTCTCTCTCTCAAAAAAACAAACAAACAAGAAACTTATTTTTCTTGTTCTTCTGCCCATAAAAGCCGTCTGTTGTGTATACTCAGCTCCCCAAAGCTCCTTTCTACTTGCTACATTCCTGGCTCACAAACTGTTGAACGAAAGTCAATTCAATCCTCAGATTTACTCAGTTGAATATTGTTTCACAGTGGAAAGAATCGAAATGTCCGTGAGCTGATGACGGGATATACAAATGTGGTCTATCCACACAATGGACTATTGACCCATTAAAAAATGAAGCACTGTCACCTGCTACAACATGGATGGACCTTGAAAACACTTTGTTCAGTGAAAGACAGCAGGCAGAAAAGGCCACCTAGTGTATGGTCCCATTTCTATGAAATGTCCAGAACAGCCAAATCCAAAAACGCAGAAAATAAAGGAGTGGCTATCAGGGGCTGAGGGGAGGAGGAGGGAAAGGAAGTGTTTGCTAATGGGTAGCAGGTTTCTACCGGGACCGATGAAAATGTTCTAGAAGTAGCTAATGGTGAGGTTTGCACAACCGTAGGACTATACTATAATGTACTCTTTAAACTGTGAGTTGTGTGGGTTGTGAATGGTCTCCATTAAATATACGTATATATTTTAAATGCTTATTTAGTTAGTTGAGAGAGGGAGAGAGAGCGAGAGAGAGAGAGAGAGAGAGAGAGA